AGCTTGACCTTGTGTAAATCTTGAAATGGTTTGTGATAAAAAATCAATTTTCTTTTGTAATTCTGAACAATTATTAAAGGGTTTATTACATGCACAATCAGAATTATCATGAATTAATTTTAAGAAATCACGATCAGTTTCATCTTCAAGAATTTTCTTTTCAAGAGAGTCTACTTTATTTACTAGCCAATTATTCAATCCTTTTAACCTATCATTTTCTTTTTGTAGTTTCTTAGCCTCTTCATGCATTTCATTAAATGCTTCTTGTAATGAATTATAATTCACTAAATTTGAAGAAGAATTAGAACTTACACTGCTGGATTGAAGGTTTTGATTTGCCATTAGACACAGGTTGACTTCTTCATTGTTAGAATTGTCTGTTGATGAAGTGTCATTGTCATCCCATGCTACATAGGCTCTTCTTTTGACTTTCTCTTCTTTCTTGTCATTATATTTGTTCTTTTCTGAGCACTCCATTCTTACATGGCCCCGCTTACCACAACCATAGCATTTAAAGTTAGAAGAATCAGCTTTTTTCTCATACCTTTTATGTTTTTCCTTGTCTTGAATCTTTTTCTTGAGAAATTTGTTGAATTTTCTGACAAGCATTCCAAGATTCTCACTTTCCTCCTCTGATTCTTGATTTCTTTCTTCAACTTTGAGTGCTATACTTATGCTTTTCTTCTCGGAGACTTCTTGTTCATTAAATCTGTTAATTTCCATTTCATGTTCTCTCGAGTTTGCCAAACAAAGAAGTTGTTGTCATGACTGGACAAATCCTTTGACTCTGAAATTGCCTGTGACCTTTGGCTGCCATGACCTGTCAAGACATTTCAAGACTTTAATATTTAATTCTTCTTTATCAAAGGTTTTACCTAGGCCCATTAGATGATTAATGATGTGAGTGAATCGCTTCGGGCAATGCTTTCACCAGCTTGCATTTTGAACAACTCATATTCTCTTATGAGAGTATGCTTTCCGGCTCTCTTTACATCCGCTGTCCCTTCATGAGTAACCTCAAGAACATCCCACATCTCCTTGGCAGATTTGCATTGGGAGACCCCGAAAAACTCATCCATGTTAAGTGCGAAGTAATTATATTTTTAGCAAGTGCAATCATTTTGAACTTTTTTCTTTTCCTCATCATTTAAACTGGACCATTCTTTTTCCGTAATTAAAGGGCCATTAGCAATTACATCCCAAACATTTCTATCAATAGACTCAATAAAGATCTTCATCCTAATTTTCCAAAAAGGATAATCTGTTCCATAAAACAGTGGAGGTCCGTTAATAGAAGCTCCCTCGGAAAACGGTAATCTGTTTTCAGCCATGGATCGAAGAACTTGAATAACTCTCAAGAACCTCGCTCTGATGCCAATTGTTAGAAAAGTAGGTTGATATCAAGAGGGAGGGGGGTGAATTGATCTTTAAAAGATTTTCGCAATTAACAGATTATCTATTTGTAAAAATAAGATTTCAGATCTGTTCTTGAATCACAAAACAATCAATCAACAATAAACACAGCAACAAAATTAAAAGAGGAGAAATGTTTAGAAAGATATCACCAGTGTTTATATTGGTTCACCCAATACCAGGGCTACGTCCAGTCTCCAGCCAAATTCCAGCTGGGTTCCACTAGATCAAATGTTTTACAGATTACAATCTTACACTTAATCTACCACAAGAACCACAATTCCAGTTCCTGCACCTAACCTTTCACCAAGAACCAAATTCCAGTTCTTGACAACCTCTACAACCAAATTCCAGCTACAGAGAAACCAATGCCCACAATTCCAGGCACCAAACAATACAAAAAGAATGTAAAGAATTGAAAAGAAGAAACTAGAATGCTCAAACCAGTTTTATGCAATTCTGTAGTAAGTGTTTCTTCTCCACAAGAAAACAATTTGCCTCAAGAAAGAATTTCAAAGTACTTCACAAAAACTAGCGCGAATCTTTCTTGAAAGAGTGCTAAAGTTTGCTTGCTTGATTGCTAAAGTATGTGTAAAAGATTGATGTTCAATGTGTGTTCAAAATGTTCAAGCCAAACTGTTTTTATAGAAGATTTTCAAAACTGCTGGTTTAATCAATCTGTTAAAATAATCTTTTAATCTATTAAAGGTCTAGTTTTAATCTATTAAAACTTCTTTTAATCCATTAAAGCGTTCTTGATTATTTAACATATTTGTTTTAACCGATACGACAACGTTTATATCAATTAAAACTCTTTACAAAAAAATCTTCTAATTTGTTTTAATCGATTGTTTCGTGATTCAATCGATTAAAATACTGCAAAACTTTCTTGTAAAATTTTCCAAGTGATTTTAACTCGATAAAAATAAGTTTTAATCGATTAAAACGCTGTGTAGAAATTTTCTAAGTTGTTTTAATCGATTGAAACATGTTTTAATCGATTGAAAAAGCTCTGATCGGTCATAACTCAATTCGATCGATCATATTCGATTCTGATCGGTCATAATTGCATTCTGATCGATCATCCTGAACATTAAGTGGATTTAATCGATTAAAACCAAGTTGTATCGATTAAAATACTGCAAAAACACTTCTCTTAACATTTTAAGTGATTTTAATCGGTTATAGTGAAGCTTTATCAGTTAAAATACTCGATGTAAGGTTTTCAAAAGTTTCTTTAATGAAAACAACCTAGTTATTTCGAAATTATATCAGCTTAAAAACTTGTTTAAGAAAGTTTTTGTTAAAATACTTTGTTTTTAACTCGCTTAAACGTTTTTAGAGGCATTTTGCAAAATCTTTTAAGTGAAGAAACCTCATGCAGCAGAATAGATAACAATGATTATACCTAAGCATAGCTACGGACACATTAATCTCTCTACTCTTTTATCTAAGTGATCTGTTGACCGCTACAAAGTTAACTTTTACTTTATCTTTGACTTCATCAAATCAACAAGATCTTTGTCGAGTATTTCAATAAGATCTTCATCACTTTCATAATGGACTAGTGAATATTTTTTTTATATATGATTTTTTAAAATATACCTTAAATTATATAAATAATTTTAAAGTTTTTATTTGTTAATTAATATTTTTATTAAATTAGAAAAATTACAATATTTTTATATTAAAATATTTATTAATTTAAATTTAATTGATTAATAATTATAATTTAAATTATAATATTATAGTATATTTGCATATTTTAACAATATGACAAAATAATATAATATTTTTAATTAAAAATTTTATTTTTATTTTAATATATAAATATATTTTTTTAAAGCGCATCAATGGATTAGCCCACCCTCGTCTCACTCTTGGCCCACCACATTAGAAGGTTAGACAAAACAAGTTAAAATGGGTTTACGAATTAAAACTATCATTTTGTTTGTCATTTTTTAGGTGATCTACGACAAATCCACCAAACCTAATATGTAGGGATATTAAAAAGGGTGGTCCAACCTAACCTGATCCTACTGGTCAAATAAAAAGAATCTAATGATCTAACCTGACCTATATTTTAAAATGAGCCAAAAGTGTTGGCCTAGCCTGATCGACCTCTTATGTTAGGTCAATGGGCTAAAGAACCATTTTTGACCTAATTAAAAATAAATTTTTTATTTATATATTTTTTAAAATTTTGTTTGAAAAAAATATGTCATTCATTTGTTTATTTAAAATTATCTCATAACCTATTTAGACAACATAAAATCATAAAATATTATCGTACAAAATTTTATGGTTTAAAATTTTATAAAATCATAAAAATGAGTTGTTATAGTCGTGTAGGCTTGAGAATAGTTGTCTATATGTCGAAGTCAAATATATCCTATTAAAAGTGTTAGATAACACATCTTTTACCTTTTTTTCTATTAAATACATGTTATAAAATTTTATAATTGAAGTGTTACTAGTAAATGATTTAAAATAAGTTCAGAACTTTATTTACCTCCCAAACTCCTCTCGTATTTAACATAGTTAAATTGAAGATCATGCTTAATAATACATTTAGCAAGTGCATTTCTATAAATTTTAGAGTCAAATTTTTATTTCTTCAACAAGTTAATCTTATTATCCAAACATAACTTCAAATCATGATACTTTGTAAATACACTACATTTAAGAATATGTCGTCTTAAATTATTATATTAATTTTATTTTATTGTAAAAATGATTAATATTTTATAAAATGGACTAGCCCATAAGCCTATGACTATCTTGACCTAAGCCTTTTTAGACTTGACCTAAATAGGTCGGACCAAAATTAATTGATTCTATTTAGGCCATAAATTTTTTTTAACCTAATTTAACCTATTTTTCATGTCTTTCAGATTGACTCATCGGATTAAGTCTATTTTGACACCTCTGTTAATGGGCATATTTTAACAACCCTACTAATATGTTTTCCCATTCTAACTAAATTTGACATTTAACATTAGATATTATAATGATATAAATTTTAACAACATAAATGGTTGAATACGTTAGATCAATTCTTTTATTATTCTTAAAACTTGCTATCTTATCTAATGTAATTTTGTTTTGATACGTAGAGTATGCCTCAACAAGTTGACAAATGTTAACATGATTAAGCACACTCTTTTAGATAATATTATTGAACGTTATTTTTTGAGAAGTTATTGAACCCGATGACTAATTATAATTTTGATTTTGGGTTAGAGTAGTGGTTAATTTTGAACCTGAAGTTATTGAACATTATTTTAATTTTTTTATATCAATTTTTTTATCATTGTTGTAATTTTTATATTGATATAAACAGAGCTGATGTAATATTTTTATTCTCGTTTCTATTAAACATCAACTAAACAACAATGCCATTAATTTTTTTACACCTAGTTTAATCACTATCAAGGGAATAAAAATGACATACAATCAAACATGTAGCATGTTTCAACTATTCAGTACAATTAACCGTTAAACGAAGCAAAATAAAATTAGGGTTTGAGGAACATGTCTATTGGTACATGGGATTTGATAGCTTCAAATTATACTTCAAGAATGACCTTCAAAGCCTTCCACTCCCTCTCCTTCCTGAGCTGCTTGCTTGGTGAGCTTGACAGAGTTAGTGGTATAAAAAGCAGCAATCGAAGAGGAGGTGGTGAAGGAAAGGGAGTTAGGGGTTTGACGAACTTGGGTGAAGGGGCCCATTGTGAAAGGTTGGGCGGGGCGATGAAGTCTTGGCATGAGAATCAAGAATGAAGCAACTCAAGCCCAAGAATGCCTCATTCTTGAATCTTTCAAATCTGTTATTATCTCTGTCACTGGTAGCTGATTGTCCTTGCCATTTCTATTTTGTTGCTGCTTTTGCTGTTATGTATGGACAGATATCATTTGTATGATAAATGATTGGGGTAGGCAACTTGGATATATATATATATATATATATCCTGACAGAATATAACAAAATGAAATAATATTTCTTCCTCTCCACCTTGTCCAAGTGTCTTATCTTTAGATATTCGTTAATTTGTGATAGTATATGAGCGTCCTAGTGGATTTCTTCTGATGTTGCATGCTTAAACCATGGTAGAGAACTGTGCCTTTCTTACCATGCACAAAACACTTTTGAATCCATATTACATTTATGCGAGTGAAAATCCATTTATTATCATTATAATAGAAAATTATCAAGTGATATATTGATATTATAGAATCATTTTTATTTACATATGAGTCCTATAAGACATAGTGAGAATAGAAAACAATAAAAATGAAAGAAGAGCGTATTATTTAAAGTAATATCGTGCAGAAAAATTAATTTGGAGAGAAAAATTAATTTGGAGGGAAGGTTCTGTTGTTCCTATTATTATTTTGTATTTAATTATTTATTGTCTTCTTAAATACTTGTTAGGGTTATCTCCTTTGAAAATAAAGTGTTATATTGATAGTTGTGATTCCAATAAAACTTATGTTGTACTCGATAATTATTATTGGCGAAATTTTTTGTCGAATTAGATCCCATGGGTTATTCATTCACATTTAGAGTTTTTTCACCTTAAAATTTAGTGTTTTCTTATTTTTTAATATTTCCGGAGACTATCATTTATACTGGAAAAAAGAGGTTTCTGGATTTTGTTTTGCTTGCTGAAATTTGGTATCTTCCCAACAAAAATAATTATCACTTGTGGTCACGATTTATTCAAATGACTCTCATCTAAAAAATTAAAATGGGTTTTGTTACGGATTCAATCCATATAGCAGATATTGTTGACCATTATAACTTGCTTTGGATCCGAGCTAAATAAGTGCTATAATATACTCATTATGTCTTGGCTCCGTAACCCCATCTCAATCCATTTCTCAATATGTCGTATATTTTGATCGGTTTGGAACACTCTAAAGGAGAGTTTTTCTTATGGGGATTTACTTTGCATGATCCAGCTTCAAGAAGATATTTACAATCTCAAACAGGGCTTTAACAACATCAATTACTACTTTACTAAATTCAAATTGATGTGGGAGGAACTTGACATGTCGGATATTGACGACGTGGGAGGAAACTTCACAGGTCGGATATTAACCAATGATATCGAAGATAATAAATAATATATTATAAATAAATAAATATAAAAATATAAAAGAATATAAAAATATGAGATGTTAAATTTTTAAAAATATTAATAAATATATTTAATGATTATTAAGTTTGGAGAAACTAAAATCATAAATATACATATACAATACAAAATATTAAAGGGGTCATAACTCCCCTTAACTCCTAGGAAACTCTATCATTCTCCCTCTTATCCTTTTGTACATGTAGGGATAGAAACTACCATTAGCAATACTTGCATTTATTGATGAATATATTTTATCAATATTTTTATTAATATACTTTATACATAATTAATTTATTTAACTATTTAATTAGTTATTATTAACGTCATTTTAATAAAAAGAAAATAAATATCTTCATATATAAATTATTGTCTAAAAAGTATATTTTATTTATTTTAAGAATGATAAATATAAAGATTTATTCTAAAAAAAATTGTTCGTTAAACACAAAATCTACCAACAAATTACGTGTTAGAAACAAAGATCAAATCCATAATTTTGATGATAACAAATATGATTAAGTTTTAGACAATTTTAGACAATTTAACATGTGTTAAGTGTGTTACAAGAAATAAATTAATAATCCTAGATCATACTAATTGAGTTTTATATGCAGGATAATTATGCATTATCAAGTGAAATTCTGACGTATGAAAAAAAAATGATTATTTGTTGATTAAATCAAAATGTGAAAAATAAAGGGAATCACATAGAATAATAAATGTGCAACAATCATAATTCAAATATTATCCTAGAATGGAGATATACTACAATAAGAATTGAACAATAACACAACAAATAATATTAAGACTTTCTAAAAGAAGATAAAAAATATCCAAATATATTAAATTTGTTCAAGATACGTAGAAGGAAATATTTTCTTTACATGTCTTGTTTACATAAAAAAGAAACATACAATATGTTGTAAAGACTTACAAAGAAAGTATTTGACACAAGATAATTTAAGAATACCCAAATATACTAAAAAGAGATTTTATGAAAAGAAAAATATTAAAAGAATATGAAAAATATCATATTATTGATGAAATGTTTCTAGAAAATAATAAAGGCTAATGATTTTGTAATCACATTTTCAAACTTACAAAGGCAGTAAGCACATTGGCTGAAAAAAATCACAACAAAACAATTGCAATACAATTTTATTAGTCTCTTGTTCTATCTCTTTAGTGACTATTTTCTTTTAGAAGATTCAGGAGGGAAGAAGTCATTGTTACATTCTTCACATAGTAAAATAAATTCTCAGTTAAGGGTGTTTATTGTCTATCATCTCTATGAGAGTTATTTCAGTATATCTAGAGAAACCATTGTTATATCATTCATCCAGTGAAGTAAACCCTTAGTTAGGAGTGCAAATATTTTATCCACTTTCAGAGAGTTATTTTCGTGATTGTAATACTTAAAATAATCCTTGTAATCAGGAGTGATGAGCTCTTAGTCTCAAAAGGAGATTCAGGTTGATAGCCAGGAGTGACTTGGTGTACTCGTTGGTAGCTAGGAGTGGTTTGATGTACTTGATGTAATCTTGTTGATTACAGCAGAACCTTTTAAGTGTTCTTAAAGAAGACTGAACATAACCCTTTGTTGGGATAAACTAGTATATGTGCAGTGTCTTCATCTGGTTGTCATGTTCATTTACATATCTTATTCATTACTTATTTGTTTTCAAAAGAATTTTTAAATCAGTGGAAATTTTTTATTAAAAAGAACTCTATTCACCCCACCCCCTTCAGAGCTAACATGGTATTTCATTATGTTAAGAAACATCAATTCTAAAAATGCAAACCGCTCAATGAGGGAACAATTTGTTGAGCAAAAATGTTGAAGTATGAGAAACTAATTTAACTAAAATTCAATTGAACGAAAGTAGGAAGTGCTTAGTGAATTTATCACAAAACTAAAATTACAATTTAACTTCTAAATAATGTAAATTAATTAATTATGGACCTTGTATCGGTCATGCATGATTCAATTATGTTTATTGTTCTATAAATAGACTTGTGAAAACCAAAAGAAAAAAAATTATCATCATTGTTAGCTTCAACTAGAGTTAGATTTCAATTTTCTCTCTATTTTCTACAATTTTGAGTTCATATACTTACATTAGATTCTTTGTTTCAATTTTCGTTAGTCTTGTACGAATTCTTCCTTCAATACATCAATTGAAAATATTTTAGATAAGATTTATTTCCTTTTTCTACTAGTTTCATTTAATTTTCATTTTCTCTCATTATTTTTCTACTTTTCCATACTTTCTTTATTGTTTTTATGTATTTTTTTGTTTTTCAACCTTTAATATGTTCTAATTCATTTTTATGGTTAATTCACCAACTAAAACTTATTTTCTATGTTTTAGATTTGGTTCTTAATTATTCTAACTAATTATAATTCATTACAATCAATGTAGTTGACATTATTTTATTGAATGTCTTATTTTGTCTCACAATTCAATTTCTAGATTTAAGTGATTGTTTGATTTAAGAATTGAGTTGTAAAATGATTGCAGTTAGATTGTAAGTGTTTAAATTTCTTATTGATTTGTAATGTGATTGCAAACAAGTTCAAAAATTAATGACAATCAGATGAACAAGTTGATGATTAAAGAATTAACCTATGTGTTCCTACTATTTCTTCCATTATTTTACTGCATTATTTTCAGTTTCAATTATGTTTTCACATTGCAAATTCATGTAACATGTTTTCTTTATTGATTTGCAACATTTAAATGCTTTGCTGGGACTTAGTTTTACTACTTTTCTTTATTGTTTTTTTACAAATTTCCTTTACATTTAAATTTAAATGCACTTAAATTCTTTGATAGAATAAGTTTAATGTTTTGAACAATTTGCAAGCTTTGATAGAGTAGGTTTATTGTATTTGATTTATAATTCATGTTATTTACATGCTTTCATTTACTACTTTACATAAATTAGTTTATTATTTTAAACAGATCATAGGATTATTGCTTTTGTTTTATTGATTTTAAACAAAGCACTTTAAATCCATCTTTGTCCTAACTTTTAATAAGTGGAAATTAAGGTTTAAACAATATTGACTAATTCTCTTCAAGAACACGACCTAAGCCAACAGAATAACTACATTAATTATTATTATTACATATTTGATCATATCTAGGTGACAAGATACACATTGATCATATCATCTAGCCAACCGCTTCTTCAAAGGATTCAATGAAATTTTTAAATAGTTTGCTCTCAAGTTCCACTTATGGACCCTTTACTAATAATCAACAAAATATTCTCCATGATTATCCAACATAAAGGATAGCAAATGTCAAACGTCATTACACTACAGGGACTAAACAACTTCAACAATATAGTAAAAGAAACACTTCTCTCTTTTTTTTTTCTCTCATGATGCGGGAAAGAGAAATAAGCTCTACTCTTATTGTGGCCGCAATGTACACACCATTAATGAATGTTAGAGGAAGCATGGGTATGCACCCACGATACCATAGACGACCTCGATATCAAACTCAGATATAATTGGGTCTGTAAACAACACACAAGGAGATGACAATGAGAGCACTAACGAAGTCCCATATGGGCCCAATACAACATAACTCCAACCTAACATCAA